ATAATAGAAGAGATAACAGAAAATGGAGAAACGTAGTGACAATCTGGAGAAAAGTAGGTCGAAGATCGGCCAGGTTAACCTGCAGCTGAGGAGAAGTTATGATGTAATTTACATTTCAAAAACCAGAAGCCATTCATTTACGAATGTGATTGCACTTTAGATTTTAATGAGGCAAAATAACATGCTTTTTCTCTCAAATATATTGTTATAATCATTTTTTTTCAGATGTACTGTAATTATTTTCTGTATAAAAATTAATTTGGTGTTCAAAAAGTCTTTTTTCAAGCTTGAGTCTTGAAAAAGAGGGGGTCGTCTTATAATCAGGGCCGTTTTATATTCGGGCCAATACGGTAGTTCTACATGCAGTTCCTAATCCGAGTCCTTGTTATTCTTCTTCTTAAAACAAATTAAATCTCACACTTATGAATGTGTTTACTGCTCATTCCCTTTAGGAATTTTCAAGTTGTGTGCTACATTTTAAAAATTTATTCCCTGGAGATATGATACAAATGGAGAAAAAAATGTATTTGTAAACTGTTGGCCAAATATAAAATCATTCCTTTACTCCCGGCCCTCTGCTTACTGTACCTAATAAAGCTGACATCATTACATGTTGACGATAAAAGTGGATGAATTTGTGATGGTAATTGACTGACCATTAGAGTGTCACTTACAGTCAACATTCCAGCGAATATTCCTGGTGGAGAGTTTGAGTGAGTCGTTGATCCGTTCCAAAACAGTCTGCAGCTTCTGCTTCTGGGCGATCTCTGACTGCGTCACCTCCGCCACATTGAGTTTCTCACCTTCCAACTTTTCTGAAAGCCATCACAAGCATAAGGAATAACCGCGGCGAGCCACATGGACGAGCAAGAGCGAGCAAGCCACACGGACGAACGAGAGCATGGCGAGCCACACGGAGGAGCGAGTGCGAGCGAGCCACACGGACGAGCGATTGCAAGTGAACAACACTGACTCCACCCATCACTACCTGTTAAGGTAGGTTCCATTTTGCTTCCTTTTTTTCTCCACAGGCATCGGCGGCGGAGTCCCTGGCTGATCCCCTGCTCGAGGTGCCTTCGTTCATTGGATGATTCGTGGTAAGTATGGCTTCGTGCTCCACTTGCACTAATTGCATCCTTCTCACCCTGCTAAAGCGCCGTGTCCGTCAGCTACAGCAGAATAATGTGGTAGCCGCAGACGTGGCTGACACTTCAGTTAGCGTGGGTTGTAGTCAGCCATAAGCGGCCTGCTAATTGCAGTGAGCCTCCGTCTCGGTCTACTGGCTCCCTCACTTTTTGTTGCTGCTCTTGCTCCAGTGTTGTTTGTCTAGACCTCTCGATCTCGTCAAAGTCGTTCTTGATCCCTTAGTTCCACGTTTTGTAAATATCATCGTTTGGTCATTTGAACTTGCTTTTGTTTGTCGTGTTAATTGGACTCTTGTCATTTTGTTTGTATTCTCGGTATTCCATGACCTTGCCTTTATCAAGCGGCTTTTGTTGATTCCACGTTTTTCCCTAGGTCCTTGTGACTAGCGTTTTCTGTTTTTGGCCTTTGTTTCGTTTCGTTTCATTTGTTTATTGAACATAAAACACATACAGTAATAATTTGACAGAAAATAAAATAAAAATAATAATAAAAGGTAAAAAGGAAAGAGAAATCAGTCATCATTCAACACAGTTATTATGTTCAAGGGAGTAGGAAGAAGTAAGGAACTTATCTAGTCCTACCCCGTGTTATGTGTTTATGTCTAATAAATCATTTTTATATCAATCAGAAAAGAAAGAAAGTAAGAAGAAAGAAGTCTCCATTAAGGCTCATGCTTTACCCTTAACCGTGATATTTTTACAACTTTTGGTTTGTATCGGGATTTCATACATACATACCCTGGCACTCTTGTGTCAATTTTCTCTTGTATTCATAATGGATATTTCCATACCTTTCTTTATTTATCAACTTAGTTCTGATTTATCATTATATTTAATGTTTAGAATTTATCATTTTAACTCTGATTGATGTAGGTTGTTTGTACTATTTTTTTTTAAATTTGTTTTTGAACTCCTCAAGCGATTTACTCATTTTCAGGTCCGTTTCGAAATTATTCCACAGATTAACACCTTTGATAGATTTGTCAGTTTTGAATTTTAGATAATAAACATTTTTGTTATTGTATTTTGTCTGTGTCTGCATTTCTGGGATCCTAAACACTATTTGGTTAGTTTCTAACCTAACATCGAGCTTTGGAGAAGAACTACGGCTGAAGTTCAAATGTCACTGAGGAGGAGAGGTCTGACGGAAATCACACATTTCACTTCAATTACATTAAGTGTGTAAGCAAGGGAAGGCAAGTCTGGGCAATACTCCTGCTACTGTGCTAAGAACCCTATTTTTACTCTGACCATGGTAGTGCTTGTGATCCTGTGTGTGTTTGTTGTCCTGCTGTTATCTCTCTTGTTGCAGTCGCTTGCTGCACAGCAACATAGGTGTGTGAGTTGCACGTCTGTGTGTGAGTGAGAGACAGAGACGCTCTTGTTCAACTACAGGTACCAGTACATCGCTTGCTCTGCTCCAATACCTGACTACTTTACACAGTACAGTATTTCTGTCGATTGACTGAATTAAATGTACAGAGAGTAAAAGGTTGGCAGAAAGCACATCATGCAAATCCACGGCCAGCAAGTATCAAACCTCTGAATACCGTGTGTGTGTGTGTGTGTGTGTGTGTGTGTGTGTGTGG